ATATATATATATATATATATATATATATATATATATATATATATATATATATATATATAACTGATTGGTATATGAATGTTAAACTTAAATATTGCATTTTAAGCCATGAATGTTAAATCAGTTACATTTCGGCCCATAATGGTTAAGGACTTTGGCGGATTAATTATTACTCCCCTTATTCCAAAATAATATCTATATTATTATTTTGATTTGTTTTACAAAATAAGTTTTGTTTTCAAGAGTAAATATCTACGTTTTCATTTAAAAAAATTCTTTCTATATTTAAGGACAAAATTGTCTTATTGTTAATTATAATATATAATAACCCCATATTCCTAAAACTATGTGTCATTTTCGTTGTGGACATTTATTTTAGATCGAAGGGAGTGACATTCAACTAAGAAAAGTTGAACTTTCATTAATCAAGTTAAATTAATTTGATTTGTAGAACACTGAATTTTAGGGGTGTTCAAGGTGCGGTTTGAGCATTTTTCCAAACCGTAAACCGCACCACATAAACCTCAAACCGCAAAAAAACCGCACTGTGTGTGCGGTTTATGTGGTTTATACTTATCACACTTTATGCATACAATCTAATAATTATAAGTTTAAAAATATATTAAAATATTAACAATAATGTGATTATAGTCCAGAAAAAGAAAGAGTTCTAATACATCTGATTTTAAAATACATATTGCATAATTAAATATAGTTTAAGAAGTAAAAGACTAAACTTCAAACTTGGGACCGTTTATTAAACGCTTACCTGGTAAGTACTTACTGAGCAATTTTCTTCACCAAATGAACATGGCAAGGGGAAAAAATCTTACCCGGTAAGAGCGATAATAAGGATGGAGAGTCTTACCCGATAAGTGAGGGTAACGACTCTTACCCGGGTAAGCGGTTACCAGGTAAATTATTGCACAAATACGTTTGATGTATTACATTTTTTCCCGGTAAAATAAATTATAGTGTTGACTCATAACGGTAAGCGCTTACCGGATAAACATTTAGGTAAATGGTCCCTAAATCGTCGATTGAAGTTTGAACTTTGAAGATTTATAGTTGAAATAGTGAAACGTGAACTTCGAAATCGTGATGAATCCGCTGATGGTATCTAAGGCTAAGCTAAGGCAATGTAGTCTCTAAATATTTGTCTAAAGCTAATTAAAATTTTAAATCGTGTATCACACCCGAAGTGCCTAACGGTATGGCCATAATTTATTAATATTGAATCAAACTAGTCCAAAAACATTATATAAATTAATAATCATTCTATATAAATATATATTGTATAAAATTAAAAAATATAAAATATGTTATTCAATCAGTTTCAACAGTGGTTTGATAACTCAAAATCGCAAATCGTACCGTATAGTGTGGTTTGGTAAAAATACAAATCGCAAACTACATCGTGGATGCTTTGCGGTGCGACATGATGAATTTCCGGCGATTTGTGTGGTCTCGAGATTTGGATGAACACCCGTCCAGAATTTTATAATTTTTAATTAATTTTCTTGATAATAATAAATTTAAAAAAAACACTTTTTTATAGGTTTTTCATGAATGCTCAATTGACGCCCATATATATGAATTTAAGTAGAAAAACATTTTTATGTACTTAAAAACTGGACGGATGTGTGCACTATGAATACATTTGGCAACCATTAAATGGTCCCTATCATTATCTTTTAAAACACTGAACGTTTATCCCGTAAGCCTTTGAACACTAAGGGTTCATTTATTAAACGTTTATACGATAAGTACTTACTGGACTATTTATTTTATTGGAAGAACATGGTAAGGACCGAAAATCTTACCCGATAAGAGCGATAATGAAGATGGAAAGTTTTACCCGGTAAGAGTAATGACTCTTATCCGGTAATCACTTACTAGGTATATTGTTGCATACGATACAGTTTAATTGGATTACAATCTTACCCGGTAAAATAAGTTTAAGTGTTAACTCTTCCCTTAAACGCTTACCAGGTAAATGTTTAGGCAAACAACCACTTGACTCTAAAAGAAATGTTGGTGACAAAATTATATACCAATTAGTGAGTTGGGTAATAGGTTCACATCAAAACAGATGAGTTTTAGGAGGAAAAAAAATGTTAAGTTGGGTTAACTCATTTTCATTAATAATATATTCAAAATTTATTCTTTTACCGATCCAAATTAGATAAGCATTAACCGGGTAAAAATGCAGTCTGAATAAACACTCACTCACCAAGTAAAAGTTCCTCCTTTGGCTTACCAAGTCGACATCTCGGTTAACATTATGGGCCGGTAAGAGAAGCTTGATAAATAGCAACATCTCCGACCTGATGAGCGTCTCTTGTCCAGTAAAAAGCAGTAACCATCCGGTAAATAGCCCCTCGAAGTCCAACAAATTACAGAAAGTCTCGAAGTTTACTTTGTAAGATTGAAACCATACGGAACGTGGCCAAAACACAACCCATTTTTTGTCATAAAACATTCGTTTATCCGACATCACTCGCCTCTTAAACTTCTTATCAACTCCAGAATCTTGATACGCAGCCCTGAAACGGTGGAGGGTGTAACTCGTTCCTCAACGAAAGAAAACCATAAATCCTCATTTTTGTGCACATTTCTATCAAACCAGCAACATATTTCCTTCGCAATGGCTAGAACATACAGACCGCAGTCATAACCATTGGCTTGTTGCGGGCTGCAACTGCATTCCATATAGCCACTTTCAGAAACACCCATATATGGAACCAGTGTCTTATAAAGGCGTTTTGTGTGGTTCTTATTGAGACCACCGAAGCTGTCGTGATGCACAAACAAATTAGTGGTCTTCTCGAATGCAAGTAAGCTCCAGTGACTGCCGCCTTCAGCCTCTGTGACGTCATCATTGTTGTTAACGGGGAAGAGGATAAGTTTTTTTGATGGTAGGTTTAGGGGTTGTAGGAAATCTTTAAGGCTGTTGATATCTGGACAGTTCAGCGTCCAGAAAGCAATTGAAGGTGGGACAAGTAGGATGTGTTCGGAAGGATGGGATGAAGAAAGGTAACTGAAATAGAACTCGATGATTCGGTCGTTGAGAAAATGAGGACCGTTTAGAATGCCCAGATCTGATTGTCGGAGCACGACATCGTTATAACTGAGGATCTTCTCATCAGCAGAGGCTTTTGGCATGTTGCAGATGTTAATATGGTGCCTGATTAATCAAAATAACAAGTGAAAATCATGCTTGTGTTGATGCTGAAGTAGAATTGAATCAAGTTTCTGATTTTTAAAGCTTTCCAAAAAATTTCCTCTACTGTGTCTGAAGAATTTAGCCAACTTTCCAAACTTGGTTGTCTACATAAATCATGTATTATCTTAGTACTCTTAAAAAGACAGTGCCTGCGTGGGACAAAATCCACTTTTTCTGTCTCAGAAAATAGATGGAAAAAATAGGAAGGTAGGACAAGATTGCTAAACTATTCGTGTCAAATTAAAACCCTAATACATTTCTTTCACCCGTCTACCTTACTCTCATCCCATCCAGTCCTGCATAACAAACGCACCACCTAAGCGAAGCAACTGGTCTAAAGAAGAAAATAGAAGATCCTATTAAAACACACATCCAATAAAAAGCAATATCATAGTAGCTAAGGCCCAAAAGGACATATCTACCCCCCCCCCCACCCACCCACCCTTCCTTTTGGGAGTTAGCTACTATGATATTGAGGTGCATTCTAGGGAGAGGTATATCTGGACTTCAGCTCGAATGATTGTATGCACGAAAGAGGGGCGTAGGTGCAGCTTTTCCGTGTGCTTCTATTAGTAGTACCTGTTAAATTACTAACTTCTATATAATCAATCTTGGATGTTTGGTTAGAAGTTTAGGCAATAGTAGTTTATCAAGTGCCTAATGCTTTCTGCAACCTGACATATATTAACATAAGCTACAAGCCCATCGCGGACTACAAAAGCTGTTTTTCTTCTTAATACCGAAGTTCTGATTTTAAATGGTAGATAAAATCAGGTCCACTTTGAATGGTTCTCTAGCAATCAAGGATCGTATATGGTAATTTCCTATTTGTCAAAGTACGATAACTACTTTGTGCAACGTGACTTGTCAAAAACGATTTAACACAGTTACTTCATCTCATCACTAGTTACTAGCTTGTTTATCTTATTCTCATCAAACCTTTTTTTACTGGGTACTCCAGATGTCATGGATCGCAACCCTCAAAAACGCAGACTACCTTACAACTAAAAAAATTCCGTTCTCAATCCCGACTGCTGATATTGACGAACATACAATAATTATGGCACAAGTTTTGCAGCTAGGTAAGATCTTAATTGCAGTAAACTGGTTAAAGTATATATCACATATCATCTAAGACCAATGGTGTCGTGTGCGACTATTTCAACCTTTGAACAAGATTAATGTTCTATCTAGGTATACTGTTTTATGGCAAATGATCATGTGAGAAGGAGAGTTAAGGTGAGAAGTGTGAGAAGAGATTTGGACCCTTGATCACCTTTAATCTCAAATCCACCCATGAATTGCACTTGATGCGGTGATTGATCCGCTGCATCTAGGTGCATCTCATCCTAATGTGCATCCAAGGGCGGAGATCCCTTGTTACGCTTCTCACGTTAACTCTTTCTCACCGGAACCCAACCCACTGTTTTATAATGTATAAAATAGAGGTGGCAAGAAAATGGATGCAGAAAAATAAGATATAATAAAGTGTCTAGGTTGTACAGCAGAAAGAAGCAAACGGAAAACCACAAATTACAATCGCAATCGTGATGAGCCAAGAAGATCAGGAAGGGGGATTAGCATGAAAACATGAAAACTTATAACTATCCATACTATGAGTATGAGTTGAACAATTTTACAGGCATACAGCCAAAGAATGGGGAAAGATTTGAGTCTTTATTTATCTAGAATAAGTGAATAATGCGGTGGTAAGTTTTCAGAAAACTTAATCAAATAAATTTATTTGATTACTTCTAATAGCTGCTTTGACTAGGACCTATCAAATTGCTAACAATAATGCTAATATATAATATAAGAAAGGGAAATTACATGTGCATCTCAATAAACAGTTGTCAAAGTTGATGTATCATTGATGCAAAACTTAATCTACCAGAGATGACTTTTGTCATCATCAGCTTGCTTACATTTCTGCATGTCTGACTTATAATAGTACAATAATATAGACTGCATTTCATTTTCTCAGAAGGTCAGGGATAAGTGTTATTGACCCACATGATCACAAACCAGCTTTGGCAGCGTGTGCATGACAGGAGTGCGGAGTACATGGATTTTTTTATTTTAAACCACGCGTACACAGATACTTATTTTTTGCATATCGAAGAAGATGAACATAACTCTGCAAATTGACAGCTAGAGTTATCAGCAGAATTAGAGCGAAAATTGGTTGGTTATATAAGCAATTGATCAGTTCTTTGTACACTTGCAAATTCTTTTCTTTTATCAGTTGTGACTTGTGAGAAACTTTGCATGGTATTGGAGTCTCAAACATCCGAGTACGAGTTCTTTTTCCAACCACAATCCTTCGTCTACTTCAAATTTTGAAAACAAATTAATTCATTAGTAGATTCATCAACAACCATGGGGGACATCCATTGGTTCTAATCTTCATCTTTTTTCATTCACAGGGATGACCATCCTGGTTTGATCACGATTTCACATAAGTTGGTTCTCACACACACACACACACACACACATATATATATATATATATATATATATATTTGGCCCTCATTGGTTACGGACTTATGTCTAATGTCGACCGGGGGTCTTCTCAGAAACAGCCTCTCTGTCTCATTTGACAAGGATAAGGTCTGCGTCCATCTTTAAACCCCCCCCCCCAAAAAAAAAAAAGACCCTACCTTCGGGTGAGAGATATTGGGTCTGCTTTGGTGGTTTGGTTACGTCTAATGTCATGGTCGGTAGAAATTTTAACACCACCAATGTAGAAATGACCTATGGTTTGAGATTTCTATACACAAAGGCTAGTGTGTGAAAAGATGCACCATTGTAGATTGGCGCAAATTTTCAAATATAAAGATGCCATACGACAATTGGAGCTAGAAGATACTTCACTTGAGATGCATTATCATAAATTAGATACTTCACTTGAGATGCATTATCATAAATTAAGGTCTTTGGAATCAGTTTGATGCTTTGGAAGTTTCTTGTGTTTGTAGATGTGATATTGCAAAAGAGAATGAGAGCAAGGATCAAAGAAGAAGCGATCAGTTGCACCATCAATCCATAAAGGGATAACCGCTGACGATAAGTATGTTTCTCCTTTTTCATTGAAGCCAATTCCATAGCAGGTAGCACTAGTTACTATCCCAACAAAGGACATATGCTCCTCTAACAAAGAATCACATGATATGGTACAACCATCGGACCGCACCCTCTTTCAAGACTAGGAAGTTAGAGCATACATTTCAAAGAAGTCACATGCACTTATTGTCATTTAGAGGGACATCCAAGTGACTTGTTATAAATTAACTGGATACCTGGTAACACACCTTTTGCATGGTAACCAAAAAACTATGGAAGGGACAGAAAGCTTTTTGGATAGTGTACGTGTACAAGAGATCTCATACAGCCATGTGAGTTACAGCATCAACAACCACGGAAGATGAATACAGCAGGCAGGGGACAGATTCTAATGTTGTTTTTGGCTAGGATGGATGTTCTCCAAAATCAGTTTATTCAGGATATGGCTATGTTGAGCAACAAAAAAGCCTCATATCATTATCCTCATATGGCATGACTCACTCATTTGTTGATGCTATTTTTGATTCTCAAGCATGGGTGTTGAAGTCACAACTCACAACCAGGCTTGTAGGTCTCTTAAGCTCATGCACCATGTGCATAGCTTGGTCAATCCTGTTCATGTTTCTCTTCTTGATGCACTATTCTTTTCTAAGGATCTGAAATTATTAATCCTGTTGTTATCATACGTCCTATTCAATCTCACTTTCTATCTCGATCCCATTAGAACTCATCTATACCCACCTGTTTTATAGTTATTTTAATGCTAATGGATGCAACTTCCAAAACCTCAATTAGACATCTCTAACACAAAATGGCATCCTTAAAGGTCATATCTTTCAACCGCATGAATGTTATTCCACATTTCCTGGCACAATAGACATGGTCATGACGTATTAATTCCAGTAAGGATGACGATTATTGTTCTATTCATCCTTTACCCAAGCAACACACCCTTTCTTTTCATTCTAGTAATTAGACGACTTATATTACTTTTGAGCTAATACACTTTGATGAATATGGTCTGGAAGTGGCAAAAACAACCCAATGAATGAAAACCCCGCCCATATGACAGGTTGTAATGGGTCTAGAAACAATCAAGTATGGGTCAAATGGATCATACAGCTCATATCATTCCTTCTGTATCATATCATACAAATTATATGTTTATATGATCTCGTAATGATTAATGAAGTAACATGTTAGTAAGTTAAAAAACCAAACTGGGTGGAAGTTGGGTCGGTGGTAGGATGCACCCAGACCATTCCTTACCCCAAGGAGTAGAGAAGTTGTTTCCATGAAGACTCCCGGCTCAAGAAAAAGTTTTCGGAAGTCTTGAGAGAGACGGAAATTTTGTCAAAATAAAAAGGCTTTGAATAAATTAAAACAAACTGAAGAGAATGAGACACTAGAAAGAATAAGTAGGAATAGACTGTGTGCAAAAAAACGTCAAGGATCGTAAACGGTAAAAGTAGAAGCAGTAAAAGCAATAAGGACATATGTGATGAAAAATATTGAAAATAAATTATAACAAGCGTGGGCAATGAGGCAAGGAAAAGTATGAAGCAGGAAACAACTTAAAACAAAGTACAAAACCACTGTAAAACTGTTTGCGTTTGCGTGTCAAAAAATCGATTTCTTAATAAACTCGAGGACAAGAGCCCCTCCCTCTGACCACCCTGGGACACTAATAGCCTAAACCAAACCAAACACACGCAACATATCCCACTCAGAAATAGGGTGTAGGGGTTGGATGTAGGCAAACTTTTCCTCTACCCCAAGGGACAGAGGTTGTTTCTGTGAAGGAAGTTGTGGGAAGTCAAGGTTAAATAGAAATTGTCGAAAAAGTTGGAGGTTATGGAGAATGATAAATGAAGCAAAAGAGCATGAGACAAACAAAAAGAATACCAAAAGCATGTATGCAAACAGGCACCAAGGAGTGTAAACAATAAAGGCAGTATGAACGCAGAAGAAAGCTATTGACCGTTAACCTGTTGGAAATAAGGCTATTGGATGCAGATGCATTTTCTAAGGTAAGGTATCATTCTTTGGATGAGGTAGAAAGATATAAAGCAAAGCTAATTGCAAAAGGGTATAATCAAATCTGTGGAGAGGCCCTGCAGGATGCTTATCCCCCTGTTGAGAAAGATGTAAACTGCAATGCAAGGTGTGTTAGGTGTGTGCATCAACTAGACCTAAACATTATTCTGCTTAACAATAGCCAGGCCAGACATGTCATCTGCATCACATCTTCTCAGTAAGTTCTTTTTGGAGCCAAGAGTCCCTCATTTCAAAGCTCTCATTCGTGTATTGATGCATCTATAGGTTGCTCTAATTAGTGTTTTCAGGATCTTCAATTGAAGCTGAATATAAAAGAATGGCAAATTAAAGTTATCGGCTTCGTTGGATCTCATGTTTATTGGCTGATTTAAGATCTGTGCATCCTATCACATACCCTTACACTGTGATAGTTCATTCGCCATCTCCATTTCAGCCAACCATGTTCAACATAGCTGGGACTGAACAGATTGCACTAGCTTGTCGCTTTTTCATGACAAAGTAAAGTGTGGTCAGTTCACATTCCGTTTTCTCATCAATCGGGTGATATTTTCACGAAGAGGGTTCAAAAGACTTCCCATGTATGATCACTATTGGAGTTGAGAGTGTTCAACCTTTAACTCCTCCCAACTTTGAGGGGGTCCACAATCCACATGATGGCAAAACAGTGGTCACAAATAACATGCAGCAGGAGTGCGTACTCAAGCATCCTTAGATACTTGTCATCTATTGCAGAGATGAGGAACACAATTCTACTTCTAGAAGGTCTAGTTGAAGTAAAAGTTACTCGTCAACAGAATTTGAGGGGAAGTTAGTTGCTTCGTTAGAAGATGGCTCCATAAATGTAATCAATCAGTTCTTTGTATGATCACTTTTTTATTACCTTCAGCAAGGAAGCCATGATACTATGTCTTCTTGTTTACTGGTTGCCAGAAGCTTTACAAGCCACAAGATCCATCTAATCTATTGCAAGTCAATACTTGCTATTACACAAGAAAAAGGTAAGAGCATCCTATGGGGTTATCCCTTTCATCAACTTGTCCTTCTCTAAAGGCCTAAACATTGTTCTAACAACATGGTAGATCACAAACTGGTCATAAAAGATCATCCAATAAACCTCATTCATCTCAGGATAGAGCTGACAGTGTAATAGGGACAGGCCTTATGCCCAGGCCAGATGGTACTGGCATTATCTAGCAGCATAGGCTACAAAACATTATGGTTCTGATTAAGTCTATGGTGAAATTTTTGGTGTCTTTAATGCTGGATTCCAAGGATTTTGACTGGTATCCAAGACCTCGGACATTTAAGGACTTCCTCATGCTGTGGAATCTTTTGGGTTCCAACAAATGAAAAATAGCTGCTTTCTCCCTGATGTCCATGATCATGACTCGATAAATTATTCGCAGTGCTCTTAAAAGCATTAAGCAAAGCTAGACGATTGAGCGACATTCTAGTGCTTGATGATGTAAAGGGAGATTAAGCGGAACCATCAGCAATTTATATCAGTATATAAAAAGTAACTATTTTTAGAATATGTAAAAATATAAGAAGTAAATTAGATATGGTATCATTCTCATACAATTACTCCTTTACTCAAAGGATCAAGAAAATTCCCTTCAAGTTAAGAGATGCTAATTGATGAGTACAAGTCTAAAAACGTTCATTGAGCTCTTTAAATATTTGAAACATTTAATTGAACAATTAGTTGCTAATAGAAGTGGTAGAGGATGCTTAACTCCTAGGCAATTGATTAAGTGACCTTAACTAATTGAAGCGGTAAGGGGACTCTTAGTGCCTAGGCAGTCTAAAACTGGGGTTTTTAGAACAGTGAATACTCAAATTTAAGCACACAGCCACATGTTTGATTTTTTGTTTGCATCTATTGACTATCTATACCCCTTTTCACTATGAGCAACAGAGTAGCACATTAGGAAGTTGACGCATTTGGTAGTTTGAAATGTGAAATGATGTTGTTTGAATGAAAATTTGCTAATATTTACAAGCTGTCATACTTTTAGCTTCAACCACACAATCACCTACACGTTGTATCTGAGATTCAAAATCATCTATGATACCATCGTTTTTACAAACCCTTATTGTAAAATATGGACTGGCAGATACAAGCTTGTCATTACTAAAACACTATTTATACCAAAACTATATATAAGTTTTGTAAACCATGAAACTCCGTTGACCCCTAAAATCCTTTTGGCTTTTGGTGTTCTCTCATACAATTAAGACTTTCACTTATTTTCGCTATATAAGCAACATTTTCATCATGTTTGTGGATTGTTTCCCATTTTTTACGCACTTGATAGAAACCTAACTACAGTTCTATATTTTTCCCTTGAAAATGTTCTCATAGACATGAATTTCAGCTCATCATACTAGTGACACCCAAGCAATTTTTTTTCATCAACGTTGCATGATTATAGATGATAGCTCATATCTCCGTATAAGTTCTAACCAAACATAACAGTTCTGAATGATTGGTGACAGATGAACTTAGGGCAACTCCAACCTTCACACCAAAAAAAAACCAAAAACACCAAATATGGTGGGCCCATAAACACTAAAAAAAAATTCAACTCCAATCATACTCCAAAAAAATCACCAAATTTGTGGATCCCACATTAAAATAACCCAATCAACCCCTAAATTATTAAATAAAAACTCTAAATTATTAAATAAAAAATAGTTTTTAATACAAATTAATGGGTCCCACTGGTTTTGCGGTTCAAGAAACCCACGGCATATTTTCCGTTCAAATAAGGGATCCGGCAAAACCTAAATTCATTTGCCGGTCGATTGGAGAAGTCACAAACGGCAAATCCCTAAAATTGCCGGTTGATTGGAGATGCCCTTAGATCATCATGGAGGATGTATTTGTAGGCTGTAGCAACTTGCAGTGATTTCAACCTTAAAACAACCACATGGTATCTAAGTTTTAGGTGTTGTGCCCAATTTGGGAGTAGAGCATAAACTTTTTGATTCAATGGTCAGTGTAGGATAACTTCGAGAAGCTAGCACAATGGGATAGGCGCCAAACTCTTCAGTCTCGCACCAAATATCCGCTCTATATAGAACTATGATCATACATAGTATGGTTCACAACATGCAATTTCTTTCAAATTAATTCGTACAGTTTCAAAGTGGAGCATCATAGAAACAATAAATTCAACAATTTCAACAGAAATGTTTATTAAATATAATTTCTCTGCATGTTAGGTCATCTTAATACTGGTAATGTTGAAAACATATAAATCGACACAATTAACCAGAACATGATGTCGAATGATAAGTTCCCAGGTAAACAAATCTAAGTATGAAACTTGCAAAACTTATTTAAATAAAGTACCATTTTGAGTTTGAATTTCAGATGTAGGGCAAAGGAGATCATAAATCACCTTCGGAGTTCGGAAAGCAGCAGCAATAATGGTCGCACAGTTGCAGAGTAGCCACTGGAAGCCAGCTGATGGCCGCTCGCTTTTAATACCTTGGTCGATCAGATCGATGTCCATCCCTAATATATAATGGTGAGTTAACCCGGACGATAGGCGGGTTAGAAAATGGCTTTTATCAAATCATAATTCTTTTTTTTTCTTTCATAATTATCCTGATCTTTTTTCAATGTTATAAATAACGTGGTTGAGACACGACGAAATCAAGTCTCAAATCTTATAAGTTATGATTTTTTCAAAATGTGACTTATAATGGTAAATTTGTATATCATATATAATATTTTAGATAAAAACATTTGTTTTTTGTTATTGTTAAATGAGTTAACGATATTAAACATTTGTAAAAACAAGAAAATTAAATACTAAAAAAGTAAGAAAATCAAATATCATGTTATAAAAATCACGTAGTAAGTCATGGCGTGCAACATGTTTAACGTGATGTCAGACACAATACTTAAGCCACGACACGTCACGACGGTTGTGTGGCGAGCTTTCTAAAAAACTGTCTTTTCCTCACATTATTATAGAAACACATGATTGGTGCAATATCCTTTAGTTTATCGGAAAATAGATATGTCCATGATACGGCGAGATTGTTGAATACATTGATCATTGTCTCATTAGTTGGAGCAAGGTTCAACATGTGTGGGAATAGTTGTTACAGTGGTGGATCTTTTACAACATACCTATAAACTTAGTCTCAAATCTTCTTGGTTTGATATCACGTCCTTCGATTAGACATTCTCTTGTTGATATTTGGATGGCGGTTATTTGGTGAGGGCTTTACATCTTTGGAGTGGAACAAGGCAATGTATTTCAAGAAACCTCCTACGGAATGAGTCAATTAAATCTGATTTCGATGGCTATTCACTTGCGCTAAGGATTTCAACTATTCATGGATAGGTTGGTGTTACGACATGAGTGGTTATATGAGTTCTTGTGACTTGTTGCTATTTCATTTTTTGATACTCGTGATTTTGTTAAGTATTGTGTTAGTAATCGTCTTCCTTTTGTTATTTTTTGATTATTACATGTTCTTGCTTCTGCATCTTGCAGTGGTGATCAGCTTTGTCTCTTTGTGTTTTAACATATTTGCTGACTTTCAAGGAATAAGATAATAATGATGCACAAAATCATGCTCCTTTTATCCACTAATATCCAAATCATTGAAACATGTTACCTCGATATTAGACTTCTTAGGATACCACGAACCATGGTTTTTGGTCTATTACATGTAACAGGAAAAAAAACGATCTCATAATCAGATCACCTACATGTAGGGTTTAGGGTATCTGAAATTGAACATATAAGCATAAACTTTATATAACATTCGGCCTACTTAACGTCAAATGAAGCAAACTGTATATATCAAACATACTACGATAAATTGTTTTCAATAATACCGTTTCATTCCTCGTCGCTTGTAGTTGAATGTTTTTTCATTGTTGTCATAAAAGTATCAAGGGGTTTAACATTTATACTACATCACAACAACTATCTTGTTCAAAAAAAACCCTAAAATAACCAGGGATGGTGGTTTGACCCCACCACGGTGGATACCCGTTTTACTCGATTCGGTGGAGGACAAGGATTCCCTGCATAACTATGTGTCACGTCATTATCATAACCATATGTCATTCCCTACCTGACCGAGTTTCAGTATAATAGTATGTATGTTGATATGTGTACTCTTTAATCTACTTTCAACCATGGCCATATATTTCTCACACTTTTTTCCCAATTTATTGATTATGTGTCTCATATGCTGTTGACTTCTCACTATTCTTGTATTATTTATTCAAATCGTGAGTAACACGTAAAAACCACTTTCTTGATCTAAAATTGCACAAAGGCGATAGTCCATTTGAGATTAAACTCAATTTATTATATCAGGGTTTAAATAAACCTGGTATGAACTTTAACTAAATCAACTATGTTATGATTATATAAAATTGAATTTTTTTTAAAGCGCTTAAGTATTTTGAGATAGAACCAACGTCTATATTTATTCTACTATTTCAAATAAATATTAGCAAATTGGGATTGCTGTTTAAACCATCAAATACTTGTATACTTACAATTAAAGATGCTAGCTGTTCATTCAAAATTTACGAATTAGAGTATCATAATTTATACATTAACAACTTATTAACTTATCTAAGAGCTTTCGTACAATGAAATCCGTAAGAGATGTATTTAAATGAAGTATGTAACAACATGTTTAATATATGGGTTTTTGTTTTGATGGGCCGAAGATGAACGTATATTCTAACACCCTTAGAGGGGCAGAGGCGGGGACGAGAAAAATGTAGTTTCCAAGCTTACTTTTCAAGCTTCGTCCAATTCTTTTTGCATCATTCATGTTCGTCTATTAATTTTCAAAAGGTAGTTTTCAAGTTCGCTTTTTAAGCGAATTTGACAGATTAAGCTAGGAAATCGTCACGCCTATAAACAACTCTAAACAAAACCCATCCCATCCCTAGAAATGACCTTGTAACTGCAAAACATTAATCTTTACAAAATAAATGTCCATAATGAAAAGTCCATACACTTTGAGAAATGCGTAATTATTACACTTTATAATAGCATGAACATGGTACAATACCATGTTTACTTTATAATAGCATGAACATGGTACGTTACCATGTTTTTTTTTCTCCATATACCATGTATCAACCAATTATAATTGGTATGCAAAATTTTATACAATATTACAAACTAACTATACTTTGTACCAACTAAATTAATACCAACTTCTTTTTTCAGTTGGTATGGTATCGTATCAACATTGTAAAAGTTGATGTTAGAAATTTATTTAAATTGACATATTTACCAACTAGATCTAAATGAATTAAAACAATTCGCATCCAAATAATCTCTATATAAGAAAAATATTCACTAATACTCTAATACAAACAGCCATTGAGGAGCGTCGATGGACTATAGAGGTGTGAATAAGTTATTAAGGTTGTTAGGATCAGACGAATGAAAATTATATATACATATGTATATATATATATATATACATACATATATATATATATATATATATCCATCATTTAGCAAAATTTATAATAAGATAATTTAAAATCCAAAATCAATACATGCTGTATTATTAATTAAATATTCAAGTGGGCTCTTCCTCTTCGATTCAAGCAAGTCGACCATTGAATCTATTAAACTGGGCCGCTTCTTCCCCCTCCGYAGGAAGACTTCCTTCTTTCCCTTGCCTGGCTGGTTATCTCAAACCGGCATTCGAACCCACAAAGCCTAGCCGCACCGCCATTGTGCTATTAGCCCTACGCCTAGAAAGCCTCAGTTACAGACTGAACTTACCTATAGRAGGAGGTTTGATTCCATTGCCATTTACTAATAAAAACAAAAAAAAAGTCGTTACAATACGATATAATCATGGTACACAATCTCTAATATCATGTACCAGCTAAGTTTAAATATTTGATACAATACTACCAATTAACTATTGGTGCAAACTAAATTGGTATCAATCAAATTAGTACGATAATTGGTTGGTTTGTCATGGTATAAAATTGACACCCCTGTTTTTCAATCAATAAAATGATAATTTTCCTTTTAATTACAAGTAGACATTTACTTTCAAAAGTAGAACCTTATTTTAAAACAAACTAAAACAGTAACACAAACATTTATTTTAAAACAAACAAAGTATTTACCAAAACTTAACAAGATAAATGCTTTTTCCATTTTTAAGTTAAAAATCAAATATGGTAATTGAGAAAAAGTTCGTTCACCTTTTTTTCTTGTATAAAGTCAATCCAGTACATATATACAAGTAATAATTAAATATCGAAAATAATAAAAACATTTTCGAGTTTTATTTCACACATTGATGAATACAAAATCAAAGTGTATATATATATATATACATATAAAAGGTGTATGTAATGTAATTATGTATGTCGGTACGTGTTAAAAAGGGTGGTATAATTTAAGACGATTGCTGTGGCAAAGTAAACCGTTTGTTTGCCGGATCTACAAATCAACTTTTAGGCGCATAAAAGGAATTATAGAAGGCAAGGTCGAGTGAGCAAAGGCAGTTGACATCTGCCCCCAAAGGGTTAAAAAAACCACTAAAAAAATATCATACACGAATAAAACTCTCCCGCATCAGATGCATTTTTAGATCCAGAGAGAGCACGCAGTATGAATTTACAGAGGCCAGATCTGAAGATCTAGTAGCCCCTCAATCATTTCATCAATCCGTAGATTCAAGTTTTAGTAGTAGGAAGGAATAACAATAGCAAAATAAGGATGGAATTGTTAAAGAATTTACCCGAGATGGATCTGATGCGGTCGGAGAAGATGACCTTCGTTCAGTTAATCATCCCCGTTGAATCCGCTCACCGCGCCATATCTTATCTCGGCGAACTCGGTCTACTCCAGTTCCGTGACGTATGCTCTCGATCCAACTTTATTTTTTATATACATGTGTGTGTGCATTTTATTTATATGGTCGTGGAATGGTTGATTTCAATTTTTGAGTTTGAGTTTCCAAATTGCTTTCAACGAATTACTGGTTTTGATCTTGGTTGTTCACGATTTTTTTGTTTATCTAATTCATGGTATGCAGTTTGTTATTTTGAATTCGTTGATACTTTATTCGTGTTAAAGTTCAAATTGATTCCTGACAAATGACAATTAGGTATAAACTGCAAAATGAATGTAACTCCAACTTGAACCTACTTGTGTTTATCTAAATTTACTCCGAGCTTTCCTCTGAACTTAGATGTTGAAGGTAATTTGACATCACGAGTCAAATGTTATCAAAGTTAATAGCGTGTAATTATTTCAACCATAGAGTAACAAAATGTTCTATTGGTAAGATATTGGGGGTGGACTGGAGTGATGCTAATTTAACTGAGATTGTTGTTAAAGCAGAAGAAAAGCTTTGAGGTACGTTCTGTACATCCTAATTTTGAGGATGATACTGATAATGATGTGGATGTTCTTTGAAAAGCTTACAATGTGTAGGAGATGGTTTAATTGGTGAAACAGGTTCTGTAGGATGGAGTAGCAAAAAAGAATTGTGTGAAAAATCCCTGAGAGTAGGTTGAGAGCATCGAGTTAACGGCCATTGTTTATGAAGTATAACTTGTGTGAGGTCTCTTCCAGTGAACTTATGTGCTGCTTTATCATTCAATGTAAAACTAAAATAGAAATTGTCTGCCATGGCTGGGTGGAGTCTTCCTTCCAAGAATCTGCATAGCTTACACCATGGAATTAATGGTCCTGCTGATTTCTTGACCTACATCTAAGACATTGTAAATAATAAACCTGATATGATTGATGATCTAGTCTTGATTTGGCTAATGCATCATCTCAGATCATGATTATATATCTGGATCAATTGTAAATCGACAAAATAAGCTTCAGGAAGGTGGAAACATTTTTTTATGATGATACATTCATGTGATTAATACGTTGGATGAGAGAACTTCGATTGTTGGATATGCCCTGTTAGTGTTTCCATTTATCTTCTTGAGTGGAGCCTTTCTTTCTTGGCAAAAGCAAAATAGTGTAGTTAACAAGCATGTGAAGCATTTGGAGAGCCACAGCGTCATTTTGGCTTTTTTGTACACATACTTTTGCTTTCTCCTTTGCTTTATAGGAGTTTGGTCTTGCTGTAGAGCTAGTAGTCTTTCTGCCTTGATAAAAGAAGGTTGGATGGGTTTATGGCAATTACAAGGAAACAAGGATCTTTGCAGTAAAAAATAAAACTAAATGGAGTTCGCAAGTCTTTTGATCGTATACACCATATAAGTCTTCTTAGAGCACAGTGCAAAGCAAGATAATCTGCTCCATGCCCAGAGGTGATGAGCGTCTTACTAAAACAATGCTTGTTTTCCTCTTGCTTGATGAGCCATATAGTCTTGCTGCCCCATGAGTTTGTAATTGCTTAAGAATCAATATATGACACACAACTTAACTCATAACACATGACATTATAAAACCTATTTGAAATCATAATACACTGTCCAACTTAGATATGGTATAGCAAATCATGAGTGCTGTTTGTTCGTTGTTCCAGTTATGTTATATCACATAAGCTTATATATTGCTATGTTGACTTCAAAAAGCCAGATTGAGAGAGACATGTCATCCTAACCATGCCTTGACTGATGAGTATGTTCCCGACTAGTTTGGGACAAAAGTCTCATTGTGCTTGTTAAATGTTAGTGTGTTATTTTTCTATAATTGATTAGATTGATCTCTTTACCTTGGAAGTTCGGTCTTGGTATTAACATGTCTTGTCTTTTAAGTCCTTGAGATCAATGTACGATTTCAAAATATCAATGTTTTTCTTATTCGGTTTGTTTCTCTTCCTTTCATATTTCATGCAAGTTGCTAATTTACTGCTTTTGACTCTTCTTGGCAGTTAAATGACGATAAAAGCCCATTTCAAAGAACATTTGTTAATCAGGTAATCATTATATCATATTCACATAGCTCAAAGCACTTGTTGATTTCGCTTGCAGAGTTATCTTATTGGTAGTGGCTTGCTAGACATGGTTTTTGGACTTCCAGGCTCATATGTTACACGTCAAACTGGAACTTCTTTTCAGAGAGAAGAAGCAATGATGGCATCTGGGGAATAAGCATCAGCTTAATCTGTGCCAACAGCTATATATTGTCTTATTGTGTTGTTACAACAACACTGTGATGTATATTGATCAAATTGTACCAGCAAGTTGAAGACTTAAATGTCTATGTTTATATTACCAGTGTAAAGGAAGGTGGATTACTATCTCAATTTATGTTTGCTTGCATGTATGTGTGCCATGATTGTTAGGTAAAAAGATGTGCGGAAATGTCAAGAAAGCTGCGCTTCTTCAAAGATCAGATTCACAAGGCCGGGTTACTATCTTCTGCTCTTCCTACACTGCAACCAGATGTTGATTTGGAGGCATTAGAGGTCTGTCCTTGTCAACCTCACTGAGAAAAAAAAAGAAGAACGAAAAGAAAGAAACTCGTATATAGCCAGTTTTTTTTGGGGGATAAGCAGTCATTACATGTTCTTAGTAAAGAAAACATACCAACTTCCTTTTGAGGAGGTTAACTTGCTTCAGAACTAATATTGTTCATATTTTATTTTGCACTCACAGATACAACTTGCTGAGCATGAACACGAACTTATTGAGATGAATGCTAACAGTGAGAAACTACAACAGACATATAATGAGCTGTTAGAGTTCAAGATGGTGCTGCAGAAGGTAAATTGCCTACCGGTGTTTGTTTTGCAGGATCTATCCATCTAACTGGCTGTAATTTACTTTTGTGCTTGTTTTATTTCGTCAGAGACTCATTTGTTTTAGTCCACCAGCATAATTATTCACACATTACCAACATCTTTATTTTATTTTATTTTTTTGATTTTTATTTTAAGTTTCTGATTGCCAAAACATTAAGCATCTCCTGAAATCAGATTCTGAATACCATTGTGATTTCTTCAGGCAGGAGGCTTCCTTATATCGGGTAAGAGTTATGAGACAGCAGAGGGCAGAGAATTAGATGAGAATGTGTACCCCAGTGACTATCCAGAGTCAGCCTCCTTACTTGAGCAGGTAGCAATCTTATTTATATGTGCATTTTGGAGTGCTACTCTTAATGCTATCATGTAAAAACTCAAAACTTGTTAATCACACAGGCGACACAACCTGGACCATCAAATTTAGCCGGTCTTAGATTTATAAGTGGCATTATCCCGAAATCTAAGGTATTATTGTTTGAGAGAATGTTATTCCGTGCAACAAGGGGAAATTTGCTTTTCAATCAGGCGCCTGCAGATGACCTGATCATGGATCCTGTATCATCTGAAATGGTTTTTTCACCTCTCTCTTTCTCCTTTCCTTTCCGCTCCTACCTATGTTTCTTTTTGTCTGTGTAGTTGCAGGGTGTTACCAAAATATCATTATATCCCTGCTTATACATCAGTATTTGGTGTGTATTTATTTTGATTATCTTTTGAGTTCAAATGAATTGATTTTAGATGCTTCTTCGCAGGTTGAGAAAACAGTATTTGTAGTGTTCTTTTCTGGAGAGCAGGCAAAGACAAAAATACTGAAAATCTGTGAAGCATTTGGTGCAAACTGCTATCCTGTTCCAGAGGACATGACAAAGCAGAGTCAAATAACTCAAGAGGTGTGTTTTCATTTGGAATAGTGATGCTTTTTCTATTATCAAATGTATAGATGATATTTTGTTTTGCCATGGATGTTTGTTCCAAACCAGCAACTACACAGTGAATGGCGTCCATCTCTTAAAAGCAGGATATACTTATACAGTGGTGGGTCTGTGTAGCCAACAGGTTGCCAATTGTTATATACTGATATCCTCTAAGAAACAAAATTTAATGCTTTTAGCTGAAGATTTATATCCATCCCAGTAATTGCATACCTGGTGTAACTAAAGCATGAAGAACCATTTGGTTTAATATGTCTAACTTTTTTGTGTCTTCCTTATCATCAAAATTTCACTTAAATAACCATTCAACTTCAACTTTTCCCTAAACCCTAAACTTATTTATGAGGGAATTAGTTCAAGTAATTTCAATTTGTGTGTACCTTCAAAACAATGCCACCATCCTTAAATAAATGAAATGTTATTGGATGCATGCAAAAATATTAGTGTAATATTGGTATGTTTAATCATCTATATCAACTTTATTGCATTAGAAATTAACCAGTTAAGGAATTTTCTTGCTGGAGTTCAAAACCATTTTCTGAACCTTTTCTTGTGCAGGTTCTGTCACGGCTTTCTGAGTTGGAAACCACTTTGGATGTTGGAATTCGTCAAAGGAATGCTGCTCTTCACTCCATTGGGTTTCACTTAACAATATGGATGAACATGGTAAGGTGTGCCCATCTGTGGTTTGTTGTATTGAAATAAATAATGTAATATACTATGATGCCACTTCTGCTCCAATATTGCTTGTGTCTGTGTTTGATGTGATGATTTTGTAGGTTAAAAGAGAGAAAGCAGTGTTTGATACATTGAATATGTTAAACTTCGATGTCACAAAGAAGTGTCTGGTTGGAGAGGGATGGTGCCCGATATTTGCTAAACCCCAGGTATTTTGTTTTAGATTGCAGAAAAGTTTATTACTTGAACATGTATGATCATATTTGGAAGCCATGCTCTGTGGGCTTAAAATGATATAAACCCTGTACTTTTTCTATGATCTTCTATGCATATTGTGTTTCCATCTTCAAACTTATTTATTGCTTCCTGTTTTGATGTATTATGTTATCGGTTACATTAGATTCAAGAGGCACTGCAACGTGCAACATTCGATAGCAACTCGCAAGTCGGCATTATATTTCATGTAATGGATGCTGTGGAGTCACCTCCGACATATTTCAGAACTAACAAATTTACAAATGCTTATCAAGAAATTGTTGATGCCTATGGGTAAGCTATGTTTGACAGCTACATTGTTTTAGCAGCAATTCTTGCAGTGGCCTTACAGTCAAATCAGTATCTATTTATTTATAAAGGATATAATTTTTCTAGGAAAATTCTTATAATAGACTCCTGCTGGACATTCCAGCGTGATCTCATCATGCAACCATACATCACGATTAATGATTTTGTCATTGACACTGATGAGTGCTCCGTTCAACTCTGGGCTTCTTGCTAACCATTGGATCTCGTGTTCAATGCTTGATATTCCCATATTTCTAAGCCCTTTCACCAATAGAAACCTATTGCATGTTCACCTTTATCATCGGTCTCTATGTTATGTTGGGCAGCATGCACATGTATTGAGGGAAAACCAATTTCCATATTTCTTCTTTCTGGTACAAGTTACTCAATGCCTCTGGATAGTCCTTATGTCAGGCATGTCCTGCAAAGAATAATTTTGTAGTAAAAAAGAAGAGCTCAAAGTCCATTGCTATCAATAAGATCATATTGCTGCAACTTTGATATAGCATCCATTATTTGTATGAACTGAAACACTATATATTCTGGAGTACATGTGATTGTTTGTGTGTGGGAGTTGATGATATTTAAATCCTATTCACTGCAGTGTTGCTAAATACCAGGAAGCCAATCCGGCAGTTTATACTGTAATTACTTTTCCATTTCTTTTTGCTGTCATGTTTGGGGATTGGGGACATGGAATATGCTTATTGCTGGGTGCAATGGTTCTCATAGCTCGTGAAGGGAAGCTTGGTTCTCAGGTATGCTCTCTTAGAATACGGATTTTTGTTTCTATAGATTCATATTCTTGTCTTTGTTCAAACTAATTTTATTTTGTTTTCTTACTCGGAAAGGCTCAATAATGTTACTGTAACCCACTCTGTCCACTTTAAGTGTCCGCTTTGATATTTGGATGTCATGTCTGGACCTTTTAACCAAAAAAATTACGAATTCATTTACATCTATCATGAGATTTTCTATTTACCTACCTTTTGTAAGTTCAATGCAACCATCAATTTACGATTTTCATATCGACTGTGAAACCGAAAGTACATTTATTTTTTACATTCAAAAGTCAAAAGGGACATCCAAAGTGGAATAGAGGGATTTACTGCCAAATAACTGTCCCCTTTTCTTTTCTGGGATGTCACCAAATCAATGTCCTCTTTTTGAATGATATACATTCTGAATAATATTTTAGTTGTTAACCTTTGACTTTATCAAAATTTTAACGTCCTCTAAAACAGTTTTCATTTGTTTTTTTGGTCATTGAATCATTCTCAATCTCAAATATATGCTTCTTAGCTTTTCTAAGCCCTGCAAGTAGCACTTACTTGCTTTGCATAGTATGCTTCGTTGTCCAACCTATATTCTTTGTTCTGGCAGAAACTTGGGAGCTTCATGGAGATGTTATTTGGTGGCCGTTATGTACTTCTCTTGATGTCACTGTTTTCAATCTACTGTGGGCTAATATACAATGAGTTCTTTTCTGTTCCTTATCACATATTTGGTTCATCTGCTTATAGATGCCGTGACGCTGCATGCAGGTATATTCAGCTTTCATTTTATCTTTTTCCTTGCATGTTTAGTTGTTACAGTGAAACTGTCTTGATGTTGTTACAGATCTCATTTTCTCTGGAAAAAAATAGGGAATAAGTCTGGTTCTGATTGCAACAGATAGTGATCTTGCATGGATGATCCAGTACATAACATGTTCATATGGTTTCACTTTGTGAAGCATTCTGATTTATGGTGTCTAGTTTGAATGATCTTGCTATTACTTCCCCACATTTTATTTTATTTTGACCCAGTTCACCTTAAATGTCTGTAGATTTCTGGTTCACATTGTATACTCCCATTGAAGAGAACTTTCAGTCAACTGGTACTGAACAATCATTTTTTGTGTTCATTGACAGTGAAGCACATACAGTTGGTTTAATCAAATATCGTGATGCATACCCATTTGGTGTAGATCCCAGTTGGCGTGGGAGTCGTTCGGAGCTACCTTTCTTGAATTCTCTCAAAATGAAGATGTCTATTTTGTTCGGCATTGCACAGATGAATCTTGGAATCATATTAAGCTACTTCAATTCAATTTTCTTCAGCAGCTCAATTGATATCAGGTATAGAAATATGTTTCCCAACCGTATTTTACTTGATACTTATAGACATCTGGCTTAACTTAAACTTAATTGGTGCAACTTTGTCAGGTATCAGTTTGTGCCACAGATGATATTTTTAAACAGCCTTTTTGGGTATCTTTCACTTCTCATTATCATAAAGTGGTGCACTGGTTCTCAAGCGGACCTTTATCATGTGATGATTTATATGTTCCTGAGTCCCTTTGATGATCTTGGTGAGAATGAGTTATTTTGGGGACAAAGGCCCCTTCAGGTATGACTTATTGTTTCTCTATAGTGATTCTGTAGAATCTAGCTGCAGTTTCCAGTCCCACTGGTCTCCTAAGAAAATACTTTTGCAGATCATATTGTTGCTTTCAGCTCTTGTTGCAGTTCCATGGATGCTTTTCCCCAAACCTTTTATTTTGAGGAAACTTCACTCCGAGGTACTACCCGTTGTATATTATACACTTTTATACAGACTTCTTTAGATGGATAATATAAAAGTAAATTTTATCTTTCTTGTCACCTTCAAACAGGTTCTTTTATATCTTAAATATCTCTGTCAATGCCTCTTCAGTTTATGTGTCAAACTGTCCTAAATTTCCTGTAGTCCTGTGGTTGTAAGAACCTCTTACTGTGATCTGTTTACCCATTGCAGATTTTTTTGGGCTTCTCTATAGCATTAGTACACACACACACACACACACTTGAACAAGTGGTTCTTGAACGTAAGAATCACTTTTAGATAGCATTTTATATATACTTGATGTCCTGTACCACCAACTTAACTATCTTTATGAGTTATGTTAACTGTCATTGGCTTTTAGTTGCGTGGTTTTTGTGTAGCCTCAAGATGTTAATGGTTTTTCCCTTGATACTTTTTAGAGATTTCAAGGTCGTGCATATGGGATTCTTAGGTCCTCTGAGATGGATACCGATTCCGAGCCCGGATCTGCAAGGCATCATGAGGAGGAATTCAATTTTAGCGAGGTCTTTGTACATCAAATGATACATTCTATTGAGTTTGTTCTTGGTTCAGTTTCTAACACTGCTTCATACCTCCGATTATGGGCCTTGAGGTATGTCCTTTATAAACCTTACTCAAAACGAATAATCCGGGTGTTAATCATTTATCGTATTTTAGCTGATAATTTATGGTTATTACAGCTTAGCTCACTCGGAATTGTCCACCGTATTCTACGAGAAAGTCCTCCTCCTTGCTTGGGGGTGAGTTTCATTTTTCTTTTTTTCTTTTTGTATTTAGTTTGGTTCATCTAAAAGTAAATGTATGGATTTTGCAGGTATGAGAACATTATAATTCGAATGGTGGGACTAGCAGTGTTTGCCTTTGCAACTGCGTTTATACTACTCATGATGGAGACACTAAGTGCTTTCCTTCATGCATTGAGGCTACATTGGGTTGAATTCCAAAACAAGTTCTACCATGGCGATGGTTATAAATTCAAACCTTTCTCATTTGCAGCAATAGCCGATGATGAAGATTAGTGCAACAACAGTTTTCTCTCACCTTTTTTGGGGAAGGACATGGCAAAAAGTCGTCTTTTCACCCACCATCACCATCACCGCTGGGGCCTTAAAAAGGGTAACATTAAAGCACAGAATTTTGGGTAGTAGTTAGAATTACGGACGAATGTGCACAGCTTGAATTAACATAGTGTTGTAGAAACCATCTGAACTTGATGGTATGAAGGCCCTGCGTGCACAAAACGGTCATGCCATTGTTCGTTAGAGCATCTCTTCTATATTTTTCGCAGGGTAAAAGTAGATGTTGTAAAGAGGGAATTCATTTATATCGGATTGCTCCAGGGTGTTGGTCCTTGTGTAGATTTTGCATCTATAATCTTTCTATTCTGGCCTTGGTGTTTTTATTTTTGGGTAATAAACTACAAATCTGAAAAAAAATATTACGATACTCTTAAATGAATCTATAGGAAAGAACATTTCTCAACCTTTGCTTTCTTGTTTGCTTTAATTTAATGTACTTGAATGCTTAATCTATTTGTTGGTAAGATCAAAAGGGTTCTTTTTGTACTATTGGACCAAGTAATGTGTTATTGTGTTGTATGATGTACCAAAATGTTTGCTTTCAAGGATTGATGATTTTCAAATGACCTTGAAAATCAAAGCTACCTTTATTTATAGTTGAACGAGCATCCAAGGAATGTTTTTGAGTTTAAACATAAATCAATCCTTTTTATTTACCAAATGTTTAAAGTCACCACCCTTTTACTAACTTTTTCGGGTAAAGTTTTCAGCTATCAAAATAAATTATTAGTTGGATAAGAATATTCGTTTGCTTGTAAGATTCTCATTCTTATTATGTCTTTTACTTGGTAAGATTCTTGGATCTTGCCAATTGTCATGCTAACCCGGTAAAATAAGTGACATCCTATAAACGTTGCCCGATAAATGTCTGGTAAACGGGCCTAAAGTATTTTGTTTGTTTCTTAATTAATCATTGAATAACACTTTTTTATGCACATATATTTCATTAATACCGTTTGTTTCTCTATATTAACAAATTGTTGAGTTTCGATGGAAATGAGAGTAAATCTGAGAAGCGTAAAAAGGAATCTATTCCTTTGGATGCACATTAGGATGAGATGCATCGAGATGAAATGCACTGGATAAATCTTCGTATCAAGCACGATTCATGAGTGGTTTTGAGATTAAAAGTGATCAAAGGTCCAGATCTATTATTACGCTCCTCATCTTAACTTTCTTTCTCGCTTCGTCTATGAACAAATATAATGATTTAATTCCACTCTTAATTTTCATAAATACTCATATTTGTTAGCCACCGAGTATTTCTTATTCAATTTTTTGTATACTATTTAAAGTTGTAATAATTAGTATCAAATGATTGTATACAAGTGATTATAATGGTGATTTCTAATTATTGAAGATTAAAATAATTAGATTCAAAAAACTCGTTATATAAAAACTGATTATTAACACACATGTAAACTTATCTTCATTTTCTTAACTTTAATATAACTGATCATCTATCATATAATTTTATATTCCGGTTGATAATCACTTTAAAAATGCATGATCAATCGCCCCTTAAATTATAAATACTATCAGGTTAGCACTTGATTTAGAACCAAAAACTGCAACTATCTAACCGGTCATATTTAAAACCTCTTTGGTCCCAAAGCATACCATAAACTGGATACAAAATTCATATTCATAATCTAAATGCATATATAAAACGACATCTTTTCAATTTATAAAAAGAATACATTTCATTTCCGGTTTCAACTGAACTGAACAAGCATAACGATTTCGATTTGGTTACAATTTGATTTTTCTGTTTTACTATTTCAAACCAATTTTTACACAAATACCTCAGATACCTCTACAAATATCATTAAAGCATTTCTAATTGTGTATTATAACTTTTTTTACGGGTTCCACTTTTTATGTTACTTTTCGTTGTTGGTTTTATATTATTTCCTTATAAATCAATTTTAGTATTTAAATACCATTTTTTTAAATGTATTAAAAACAACAAATATAGTTTATAATTATTATTTATTATATTAATAGTACTTTATTTATTTATTAGACTTCATGATAACTTGATAAAATTATAAATTGATTTGTAAGAATACGTATTTTTAAATTGTTTTACTTATAAATAACAGTTGTATCAATTTAGTTGAAAATTCATATTTTTTTATGTAACTTTAATAATAAGCAATATATATATATGTATTTTTTTTTATGGTTGATTACATATATTTAATTATGATAATTTATCATTATACGTATTTATTTGTTTTTAAATTAAATTTTAAAAAAATACAATAAATTTGTGTAAAAAATAGAAAAAAATATATAATAAAATTGGTACTATTACTCTTGATTTATATCTAATTTATGTATTTTTATAAGCCTTATTTAAATAAAATCTAAAAAACACTCAACAAGTATAAAACAAGAATGGGGATTATTAAACGAGGTCTAGAAAACTCTAAAAAATAAAAAAAAGAATCAATAACTTAATAATTATTCATCTGAACGGTATGTACATGTGAACATATGTAATTTAAAGCAATTTGTCCGGTCAAATGAACGGTTATCAGAATGTTTCTCAATTTTCCTTTTGTTTTTTTAAAGTTTTCCCCTGAACATCCACACACACACACATATAAGTTATTAAAAATGTTTCATGGTTTCTATATACGTATATATGTCATGCATATCTGTATATAAGACAAAAGACCTTTTGGAAACACATGAAATTGTGATAACCATGAGAACTTGTGTATTATGTGTTATTTCATATGATTTTTTTTCATCTAAAAAATATTAATTAACATATATTTGTTTTACATGTACTTGATTCCTAATGTGAATATTATTGATGTATTTGTGAAATAAAAATTACAAGTAGAAATTTTCATACTGTGAACCGAAAATACATGAAACAAACACGTTGTGATACAAATATATAATAATTAACATATTAAGTACTATATATAGACATAAAAAAAATCATGTAAAGTAAGAAGTTCGCATCAATTTCGAAAACATTAACGTTCTTAAATAATTAAATCCCTATAAAACAAATTATTCAAATGTGGTCAAAGACCTTCCAGCCTAGTGGTAAAGGCTTGGGCATGACATAGTCATGAACCCGAGTTCGAGCCCTGGGAAGGGAGTGTTGGCGACATTTAAGTGGGGCCATGTTTAGCCTCCAAATTTGCCGGGGATTAGTCGGGCTTTGGCCCGGACACCCTTACAAAAAAAAAATTTATTCAAATGTGTATATATATACCATACAAATAAATGATATTGAGGATTACTTAATTTGCCTTTTTTTTACAGGTTTTCATACAAAAATTGTAATCTAATATGATAAAATGTAACAACTACAATAACTAACATGATTAAGGGGTTGTTTGTCTGTTATTGAATGGTTTTGTGTAGAATGATTAAGAGGCTCTTACGATATAGTATAAAATGAAATATAATTATTTAATAATTATTTATAATAAAATTAACACGTTTAATGTTTAAAGAAGATCCATAATATAAAATTATTTAAAAGGTTTTAAAATCATTAAAAGACAGATTTTTTTTTTAGGAAACAATATTTGTTTATCGGTAAAACTACTAGGGGTAAACAAAACAAGTTCCAAATATATGCGAATGGAGATGTTCTTATAACACGTACACACGATGAAAAGAAGTTTATGTAGAAAAAGAGATTCCTAAAAGGTTGGTGATTTCAAGTAGCAAAAACCTCAAGAATCGATCTGTTACTGTCATCATCATCTTCACAATCCATCATGCTTTCCGATTTCTAAGTCAATTCCAAGCAATCATGGTTTTGCACTTTTCTAGCCCTCAACAGTTGCGGAACTGAAGCCAAAATGGAGAGTGGTGTAAATGTTAATAGTAAGGGTTCTTCGCAACATGAGATTTTGGAGGTGTTTAAGAGAGAGATGGGGTTCAATCCCCCAAGAAAGTTCTCTCGCCGAATCTCTGCTTCCGAGGTTCGTTCCATCTATCCATGTACTTATATCTGCATAACTTCACAGACATGTTCTACTTGATTATCACCATCACAGATGTACCCTTCATATTTCTGCTCAATTTCATAATTGATTGGGGGTTTAATTTCATAGTTCTAGATTCTAATCGCCCCTAAAATGCACTTGTTGACGATGGGATTGATGGTTTGTTCACCGATCAAAATTATGATTGCATCATAAGCAACCATTCTTTAATCCATTTGACAAATAGATGATTAACAGTACGGCAATTAGGTGTTCTCTAATTAAAATTGGGCTATGATTCCTCCATGGAATCAAGGAATAATTAAAAGATAGAGATGGTTTCTATTTTGTATTTCATTTTTCGACACTCACAGAATTTTAAAGGAGATAGAGGAGAGCGCGACATGTGTCCCGTGTCCCGGTTCCCGAGTCCACATTCATCATGAATGAATGACCTGTGAATATCTGGGACACATGGCACACTCTCCTTTGTTCCTATGGAACTTAGGTTTTCAATTGAACCTGTCCCTCTGTGTGTGTGCGCGCGCATATATATACACACACGGTAAATACTAATGCACAGGTTGAACCCTTGAACTTTTGGGAGGTTGGGATCTACCGGTAACCCTAGAGGCCAATGACCCTCCGGTTCTATACTGTTATTGTTGCTATCTCCTAACTTATACAAAGTTGAATCAGTGTTCCTCACATGACTTTGCATAGAAAATACAATTAAGGTTGCTTCACTCTATGACAATCCACTTTGTGATTGCAGGAGTCTTTATTTTACTTGATAAGTTATATTATTGTTGTTGCAGGCTCTCGTAAAGAGAATCGGACTTGCTGGTAAACTAGACGGCCATGAGGGTTGTGTGAACACGATTGAGTTCAACTATTGTGGTCACCACCTTGTGTCGGGTTCTGATGACAGACGAGTTATGATCTGGAACGTGGCAACTAGATCCTTGGTCCTTTCATATGCTTCTGGTCATGTAGATAATATATTCCAGGCTCGATTTATGCCCTTCACTCATGACCGCACAATAGTAACTTCTGCCGCTGATGGCCAGGTGAGTTTCATATGGGTTATTTACGAGAATAGCTTTCTGACATGTTTCTTTTAAATGCATGACTTTCTAAACATATTTAAGCACACATCTGCCTAACAAAATAATGCCTCTATTTTTTAAATGTTGTTATAATGTTTATGCAACTATTCAGAGCCCTATTTATCATGGGGGTTCTTTATGTGTATGTCTCCTATATCCATTCAGGGTGCATTTGGTACACAAGATAGGATGGGATAAGACTGAACAAAAACTTGTTGTCCCACATTTGACGCAACATTAGATTAAGGACAAAAGAGATACAAAGTGGACAAAATGCATATTTTTTTTCCCACCAAGATAGGTGGAACAAAAATCATGGATATGGGACAATATTAATAAAATTACTAAACTACCTATTTCAAATTAAAACACTAAAACCTTCCACAAGTCTTTCACCTGCCTACCTCAAGTAGGTAGGCATATCAGAGGATTTGAAAGAATTGTTGGTGGTTTTGAGTATGATAACAAGAATCAAGAATGTCAAGAAATTGCGAGTTTTCTAAGAGACGCTTTATGGTATAGTTAAATTAACACAAGGAGATATACAAGAAATTGTGGCTGTGTGCAGGTCCAAAAACTATGGATTTTAGTTTGACCTGATAGCGACTCAGACCCGTTAAACAATGTATATATACATAATAAAAATGACATAGGATACGGGTTAAGGCTAAGGTTTTATAAAACAAATTTGGTCATATGTCCAATATGATTTACTGTGGTTTATGGTTCTATTTGCTGATATTGTGTTAAATGATGAAACTGGAAGTGATGTTTCTAGAAATATTGGCATCATGCAGAAGTAACAAAACCAAAACATACCCAATATATCCCGCTCAGACGGCATTATACAAAAGTATCCTGTACAAGCCTGCATCTTGATTAGTCTATTTTAATATGCAATTCACTTTATCACAATTAATAAGCATAATATTATGTTTTATTCTATTTTTCAGGTCAGACTTGGTCAGGTAGCCGAAAATGGTCATGTGGAAACCAAAAAATTGGGGAAACACCACGGCCGTGTTCACAAGCTTGCAGTTGAGCCTGGAAGTCCCCACATATTCTACAGCTGCGGTGAGGATGGATTAGTTCGGCATGTAAGTGATACATATACGCACACCCCCATCCAGCATGCGTGCTATACTCATATTCCATTTTGATTTTGGGGTGATAAAAGAGAAAATATATTTTTTCTAAAGCTGTAAGAGTCTATCCTAGTTTAGTGTACTACCAACCAACAGATTTTGGGAAAATAGAGACTAAGGGCATGTTTGTTCGCTAGCAGCTTAATGAGCTTAATGGGACTTGCAACTTCTTTGGTCGGCTATAAGTAACTGTTTGGTAGTGGCTTAATGATACAGAAAGTGGCTTATCCAATAAGTTTCTAGGAGGGAGCTTTATGCAGAAAGCCAAGTTTTTTCCAAACCTGCCCTCCCAATTAAAAGACAGTTAAATACCTTCTTTCCATCTATGAAAAAAACCCTCCCAAATAAAACTTTCCGATTTACAGATAGATCAATCCACACAGACAGCTTTATCCATATATGACTTAATGGAAAATCAACCAAACAGACCCTAAGGGGTCCTTTTACCAACACAAATTGGGTAAGCATTAACCTGGTGAAACTGTAGTCTGGGTTACCACTAATCACTCACAAAGATAGAGTTCCCCTTAGCTTAACAGGTCAGCATCATGGATGGGTAACAGGAGCTTGGTAAACAGTAACATCTCTGACTGGGTAAGCGCCTCTTACCTGTAAGAGTAAGAGGCGGTAAGAAGGTAGTAAACATCCCCTAAATTTTTTCAAGTATACTTAATATTGCCTCTCGACCCCTTGGGTCCGAGGAAAGTTCTCCATACATCCTACTCCCAGAGACCCTACCTGCATGGGATCTATTGGGTTTATTTGGTTTGCTTTAAATTTCATCTGTTGTAACGTTAATTATTAGACAGCTAATGTCTTTTTGCAGTTTGATTTGCGAAGTAATTCTTCTACAAAGCTTTTCTGTTGCTCCTCATTCACAGAAAACAACCAACACTCTTCCTCAAACAGCTTACGATTAAACACCATCGTCATCGACCCAAGGAATCCTAATTATTTTTCCGTAGGAGGTTCTGATAAATACGCACGCCTATATGACATTAGGAGGTTTCAACTGCCTTCAAGCAATTTGGATCAACCTGTAAACACATTTTGCCCAAAACATCTGATTGAGACTCAGGATGTTCACATCACTGGGATGGCATATTCCGCCACAAGTGAACTTCTCGTCTCTTACAACGATGAACTCATCTACCTGTTTCAAAAGAATATGGGGTTAGGACCGGACCCCATGGCAGTTTCACACGAAGATTTGGATAATTTGGAAGAACCACAGACGTATTCCGGGCATAGGAATTCACTGACAGTTAAAGGAGTAAGTTTCTTTGGGCCCAATAGCGAATATGTCATGAGTGGATCAGATTGTGGTCATATTTTTATCTGGAACAAAAGAGGAGGCGGGCTTGTTCGTGTAATGGAAGGTGATCGTCGCATAGTGAATCAAGTCGAGTCCCATCCGGACATCCCGGTTCTTGCGTCCTCTGGATTGGAGAAGAATATAAAGCTTTGGGTTCCCATGTCTGATGACATTCTTCCCCTGCCTCATGATTTACAAGAGGTATGAACTTAAAACTTCTGATATAAACTATTTTATGCAAGATTCGAGTTTGCATAAACTAAACCAAGTTCATAACCTGTGGCTTTCATGGACCAAACAGATTGTGGAGTCGAACAGGCGAGGTCGGGAAGATCACTCACGAGTTACGCTCACACCCGATGTTATTATGCACGTTTTGCGGCTTCACAGGAGGCAAGCATTGGCGTATATCGAAAGGCGTCACAATAGAGATGATCTTGCAAGTGATGACGAGGAAGATGAAAATGATGCTTATATCTTGGGACTCCCCGATGGCGATGGTTCCATCGAAGACGGAAACTCAAGCGAATGTAATATCGTTTAATATCCTAATTCTCTGTATGTGTAACAAGTCTTTGATGTCAGTTTATTTTTTGTAGGTTGTTTTTGCAAGAAACATATTCCATATGATACCATAAATAAATAAATAAATAAATGTGACAAATATTATAATCAGGAAATGTGACGTATTTTTTTGGAATGATTTTTTTACAGGTTCACATTTTGTTTGTTAGCAATGATTATGAAATATTTTAGATTCTTTTATGATTTTTGTTAAAAAAAATTAAAAATGAAATAATTAGTAAAAATAGAAAAAAGAAAAAGAGAGTACAAAGACACAAAAATAAAAATGATAAAAATGTCAGTTGCGTTACTTCATTCTGCAGACTAATCATTCATTTGCAGATAACATTTAAGTACCCCCTCCATCCCCAGTCCTATAAACCATCATTTCTCACGTATTACATTTTTCCTTTACCTTTTCCTTTTTATTCTTAATATATTATAATATATATATATACATATATGCAATTTACCTTTATGCCCTTCTGATCGTTTTACTGACCTTTTCTTAAATTTTAATATATGACATATGTGATTGACTAATTGTTTTGTATTTAAATAACTTTAATTTAAAATAACTAAAACATCTTGTAATATAATTGATGAGATAACTAGCAGTAGTTTTGTTGACATCTATCTGGTCTTAAATAGTTTTGAAATTTCTTCATTTTAAGTTTTATTTAGATGAAAGGTAGAAGATTTTGGATGACTTATCCATTTAGTGATTTTGGCAGTGGACGTTTCCTAAAGGGGTATCATTGAGTTTGGAATCCGGAACAGACTGTTGGTGATAAGTCGGAGGAAATGTGATATCTTACACCGGGTAAATTCTTAATCCTCCCCCTTCTTACTAAGGCTATCAAATAACTTATGGTAATGTTCATTAAACTCCTTCTCCTCCTTTTGCAATAAAAAATTCTTGTATGGGTTGTCATGATGTGATTAGGTGCGGTTTTAAGGTCAAATCAGCAACTGGAGCATATGTATGGTTTGAAGATTATCTTCAACTGCATAATGTACCACATATTCTTAGTGGAAAGCGGTGTAATGTGGTTTATGCGGTTTGCACATAAAACAATTCAATCCAATGATGATAGAATCAAAACTTCAAAATAAGTTTGACGATGATGTTTACATATTTCATATAATAAAAAGTTCTGGTACATAAGAAATGTGCAATTAAAAATATAGTAACACAAAGTAAAGAGTTCAATAGTTATTGGATAAATTTTCAAAATAATATTGAAAATTGCCAATTATGATAGTTCAAAAGGTTGTGACTTATACCTATATAATATATATATATATATATATATATTCTTCTACAAGATTTCTAGACATTATTTTGCTATAGAAACACGATCCCTCTAGTTTTGGAGTGCTTGAAAACTCAATAGTTTAACCGAGATTATCACCACTTGTGCGGTGTTGATAATTAATCTACACACGTTGCTTCAATGTATCTTGAGAAGCGTTGCCACCAAAGCATCTACGGTAGGGGCAAAATTGCTTTAAGGATAGAAATTTCACTTGTCTTGAAATCAATAAATAATATATATCTTCCATCCTTTTCTTAGCCTAAATTAGTACCCAAAAACCAACAATAATTAATTCAAATATATGAAATGTTGACTTCAAAATAATTTGACCATAATTTTTTAATAATGAATCTGTAACATCAAAATTAGAAGGAAAATTAACAAATATTCAATAATGTATTAATTTTTTGAAATAAGCACGTTCACCCTTGATTGTAACTCATGTTAACAACTACTACACAACTACTGCGGATTTGTAATTTCAAGTTCATAAGTAAAAAATACATGATGTTCAAATATGAACAACAGGATTAGGGAATAATTACTTGAATTTCATATATGAACAACATAAAGTAATCTATAACTATCATAAACAATTACTTTAATTACCAAAAGACATTTGGCTTAACGGTATCGCAGTCTCTGGCCTCCTAGGAGGTCAGGGGTTCAAACCTCACCAAAAATAACGAGGATGTATGAGTTTATTTGTTACATTTGCCGTATATAAATATTATATACTTCAAAAAAATCCATTACTTGAATTTCATCCATGAATATTTCACTTATTCATAAGTGAAACCACAAGTGTTAACAATCAAAAGAGTTTTCAAGGACTCATTAGTAAAACCAACAAGTATTCCATAACTAATGAGAATAATCATGAGAGACTTCAGGGTCGTGAATGTTTGCCTAAACGGTGTGTAAATGAACTTTTACAATTTTACCCCTATTCATGGTCTATGAATATTTTGCCTAAATGAGGTGTAAACAAACTTTTCCAATTTTACCCCTGCTCACCAATGTTCCCACACACCAACTTCAATTTTGTTACAAAATTGTCAACGTTCATTTTCATCTGTAGATTTCATAAATTAAAGTTCTAAGATTGGTTTATAAGGTTAATGGTAGTTAATGGCAAGACATATATATGCAAATAATAGAAATTAATTAAAATTAATCATTTTTATCAATTGGTTTCACTTCTTAACGTTTACAAGATTTATCAAATTTATAAATAATTAAAACTTAATAATTTTATTAAAAAAAAAAGAAATGTTTAAGAAAATAATTTATGGAAACTGGGAAAATATAAAATTATACTAAAGAACTGATATCATATAATATACTCCCATACAGAAATACTAAAATACCAATATTACCCCCTAACATCCCTATCTACATATAATAACTGAAACTTCAAAATATGTAGACACTAAAATTCGATCCCTATTGTCATTCCCATAAAAACCAGAACCAAAATAAGGGGGGTTTGGGAGTTAACAAAAGGTAATTTGTGTCCTTTTTAGTCATTTCACTGGTCTTCTTCATGGCTTCCTGGAACTGGAAGAAGCATGATTGGTGGTGCCAGAGAGATTGAGATCAGTGAAGGAGTTAGGGGTGTTATTGACATTTTGATCCCCCATGGTTAACCTCTGTTTGAGCTGGGAAAGCAATGCTTGGTTTTCTTGGTTAAGAAGCTGAGCTTTCTTCCTCAACTTTTCATTCTCTTGCATGATCAAACAGTTCTCCATGTACAGCTTTGAGTTCAACCTCTCCATCTCTGTTTTCAAACCTGCAATCATCAAAACACACGAAATCAATCAATTCTGTTCAATAAACAAATCCCACATCACATCACATCACATCACACTTTTTTTTTCAAAACATTCTCCATTTTTCTTGATTTTGCAAGGTCTTGGAGCCAAAACACTCACAAATCACAAGAAATTGTGAAAAAAAAAGTGAAACAGAGCAAATAGAAAGGGGTTTCGGATTTGGTGAAGTAATAAAAGGAAATATGGAGTTAAATATTGAAGAATGAAGGGAATGAAAGGAGTTCAAGAAATGGAACGTGGGTATCTCCCAATAATGTTGAAATCCCAATGTTTTCGAGCCAAAAAACTCACAAATTGCAAGAAAATGGTGAAAAGACTGTAGAAACAGAGCACAATAGGGGAAATGGAAATGGGGTTGAGATTTGGTGAAGTAAAGATGAAGTTAAATATCGAAGGATGAAGGGAAATCAAGAAATGGAATATGGGTATCTCCAGATATGCACTCATTAAAGAACGAACGACCTTTGTGCTTTTTGGCCTAGCAAACAAGGCAAGAATAAAGAGCCAACCAACGACACTGTTCATGCAAATGTGTGTTATTCGTGTGTGTGAAAAGGTGTAATACTCGGGGCAAAACCCATTGAAATAAGAAATATAAGTGTGTGTGTGTGTGTGTGTTGTGTGTGTACCTTTGGAAGAAAAAGGCTATGGGAAAGATGGCAGATTGTGTATGAATGTTGAAAGGCAGAAATGGAGGGACAAAATGAAGGTCAGCAATGAGGAGTATATATAGTGGGGAAAAAGTATGGAGATTCGTAAGAGGATAGAGATGGAAATGGAGAAGAAGAAGAAGGCGGCTTGTATTAATGTGTGCTTCTTCTTCTTCATCTTCTTCCACAATGATGATGATTATGAGATTTTTGGAAGCGAAGGGGGTTTTGATTACGTCATGTGAATGATGGGGTCTCAACTAGGGGTATTTTCGGTATTATACTTTAGTTAAGAAAAAAAAACACCCATATATTGTTTTTCTATTTTTCTTTAAAAGATTTTTTTTATTCATTAGAGAAACTTAAGTAAGATAATAATTTAAAAAAAAAATATTTATATAATAAAAAAGGGTAAAATGGGAATTGAAGGGGAGGGGAGGATGGACGTCGGGAGGGGGAGATACGCAATGATGGTTTTGGATTGGTTGCAACGACGGAGCCCTTCCCATCATCACCACCATCCATCATCCATTTCGCTTTTTCCATTTTTGTGGATAATCTTTTTGCTTTTTTCCGAATTAAATAATTAACTTTTTTTATTTTCAATAAATAAATTATTATTTGTTTCGTAGAATTTCCAAAGATGACTCATACAAAGTTTGCATACATATTTCCTTCAATTTTAGAGTTTTATTTATTTAATGACTGTTAAAAATGATATGATATACAATATCATAGTTTTTTTAGTCTTCTAAGAGATTAGAGATTCAAATCTCATCAAAAATAAAAATGTTACGTGAGTTTATTTGTTCTATTTGTCATATATAAATATTATATATTTAAAAAAACGATATAATATAAGTAAATTAATTTATGTGTTAAAAACTTTTATTTTTTCTATACCAAAATTAATATCTATTTTTTCATTCTACTGTTAATTATGAGAAAGAGAAAAAATTTCAATCGTTGAGGGTAAAGTTGTAATTTGCTTAATGAAAAATAGGTAATAATTACATAAAATTCAAATTGTGTATATTTTTAATGTGTACATTAGTTTTAGGATTAAAAACTAAATAATTATAATGATTGTATATAATTAATAATAGAATGATTAGTATCATTAATAGAGTTCATGGCCATTTAGAGTTTTTTTTTCCTTTTATTTAAATTTATAGATTTTTTATGATTTTTATTTTAAAAAAGAATTTTAAAGTAAATTTCAAGGTTATGGCTCCACGCAAAGTTTGCATTGAGCTTCAAAATAGTGTGTGTGTGTATATATATATATATACTTGGGATCATGTGAGACCAATGATTTTTCGTGAGACCCGTAAGACCAATTCTCAACCCTTGGATTAGATTTACAATCGTCAGATCTGAACATTTATAAACACTATGAGACTTCTCACTAATTACGAAATTGTCACCTTGCAACTTTGCAACCATTAGATCATTAATTCATAAATTTGATCAATGAACATAAATTGGTCTTACGGGTCTCACGAAAAACCTTTGGTCTCACGTGAACCCAATCCTATATATATATATATATATATATATATATATATATATATTAGAGTATATTGTTGCAAGGTCATGCGTTATGAGTGTATTAAGATGTAATATGATTGCCATTAAAAGATTGGATTTTTACTTATCTTGAAGGACTTTGTGATTCACATGCATCAATGGATCATGATGGTGTCTATAAATGTATAAATGGTAGACTACAATCTATAAATTTAAAATTACAAGATAATTATCGTGATTTATAAAAACGTCTAGATTAGGTCTTTTATACTAAAATCTGTGAATTGAAGGTTTTTGTCTTTTTATCCATTTTTTTGTCTTTTACTCTATCAAAAGTCCATGTGATTTTTTATTAGATAAAAAATTAAAATATCTTTCATTTAGCGAAATCTTTTAATTACCGTTAAGAGGGATCGAATCCGTACGTTTTTGTAAACTACGATGGTTATCTTGAAGTTTTAAAATTACAGGGACAAAAACTGTTATTTTCGATAAACCACAGGGACCTAAGCAAACTATAAATTTGGTTATATGGTTAAGTGGTTTGTCGAAAATAACATTTTTCGTCCCTAATGTTTGTGAAGCTACAATATTGTAATTATGATTTGCAAAAACCTCTGGATTTGATCCCTCTCTCGAATGGATGTTAAAAAATTCTGTTAAACGAAGGGTATTTTCATTCCTTTATCGATTTTTTTTGTCTTTTACACACTCAAACACCACATAGACCAAAACTATAAATTTGATTTTAGTTGAGTAAAAGATAAAAAAAATGGATAAAAAACGAAAAATGTCCCATATTTAGTGGAATTTATTAACGACCGTTAGAGAAAGAGACAAAATCCGAACACTTTTACAAATCATAATAGTCATCTTCTAATTTTAAAAGACAAACCAAAAAGATCAAATTTATAGTTTGCTCATTTTATTTATGAATTTGTATTTTTTTGTAGTTACCAAATATCAAGCTTGATTTAGTGGGATTTATTTAGAAAATTAAAATTTGGGATGCATATTTTAAAATGTGCTACTTAATTATAAAGCTTGATAAAGGAGATAAACAACCTCCATTTTGGTGTCATCAACTTCATTTTTCAAGGTTAAAATATAGAAGATTAAGAGTTAATTATGGATTTGTTCTCTATGGTTTGATGGTTTTTATGAAAACGGTTCATAAATTTTATTTATTTCAAATTAGGACTCATTGTACGTCGTTTTATAATAAATTGGTCTCTCTCTCTAACAACCATCCAATTCCTCCATTAACCTTCAGGGTATTTTTGTCCCTTTGTTTTGGTATTTGCTCAAGGAACCAATTTTATAAAACCACACAAACCACAAGGACCAAATTCATAATTAAATCTAAAAAATAAAAATATTAATTTTTTTATATTTTAACTTTATTAAATTAATTAATTGTTATAATTATATATATATATATATATAATTTTAGTATATAATATATTTTCTTTCAAAAAATATATGCCATACGATACACATGTGTAGATGCATGCACATCCATACACCTATTTATATAACTAGTTGTGTACCTGTGCAATGCGGCGGGAGCCATGAATTTTAACGATTTTGAAGTTCCACTGGTTTTATAAGATAAGATTTAACGATGATATAGGTTACAATTGGTATTTACATATTAATACAATTTGAATAAATAAGAGTTATTGTTCCAATTACAGACTATCGATGAAAAAAATTGTATGACAGTTTAAAATCCAATATATTTAAAATCCAACATATTTAAACGACTCCACAAATGTATTTGATTTACAGCAAGAGCAAAGAAGCAAGAAACTTGAGTTTTAAGATAAACACTCGAAACCAATAAAGAAAACTAGAAATTTGATAGATCATAAGCCATGAAAAGACAAAAAAAGATGGGTTTTAGAATGAAATTTCAACTGCTTACCCTCTTTCTTGTCCAGAAACTCAGATTAAGGTTGAATTAATACATGTATATAGATATTTCAAAAAAACCAAAGAATATATTAATTCAAAACGTATTATACAACAATTTGGACAGCCTAACCCCAAAATATATTGTATATATATAAATAAATAACTATAACAGTATAAATCGTAAATATTAAAAATAATTTTTCACAGTATATATAATATATAATAATATATTTAAGTCAAAAACAATTCAATATTTGACTCATTTCGAAGGTATTAACGAGACGATTATAATGGTGTAACTTGTTAAAATAAAAATGTATTTTTTAAACATGTTTTAATTGATATACGATTATGTATGTTAATTTGATAAAAGTTTAAAATGAAACATTTAAAATTAAATGACGTAAAGTAAATTAATTAATTAATTATAGAGGTATAAAGTGTAAATTTAAAATTATAATTTTTAAAAAAAATCGGTTGTGAGGAGAGGAGATGGTGAAAAAGTGAAAAGTGAGTATAAAAGGTATTTTGGTCATTTACAATTTTAAGACTTTAAGACTTTTGTTAAATTTGCTTAATAAGATAGTACTAGAAGGTACTCGCGCAATGCAGCGAGATACATCTTAATACGATTTTATGTGATTTTAAGAAAAATAAAATGTTTTTATTTTTGAATGAAATATAAATTTGAAAATATTATAAAATTTTGATAAAATAAGCGATATTAGTATCAAATTAACTATTTATAACTCTCTTTTTTGTGTAATTTCTTTAATTCAAATTTTTATTATAATTTAATTGAATTTTAAAAACAATAATAATTTATTTTTGGTTTAATAAAATAATTTCTTTAAGATAATAATTAAGTATTCTGTTAGAACTCAATGATTATTTTAATTATATTTTATATTTTTTATATTTAAAATATTATTTATCATGTATTTGATTATGTTTACCCGTAGTTAGTTACACGAATTCAAATATGAAGCTTTAATAAGTTGTACTTATGCATAATTTACTTGTAATCTTTAATTTTAAGTAATATGCATCAATATACAGTACTTCATGCATAAAAAATGGTTTTTAAGAGTTTTTGTCCAATGTTTTATAATATAATATAGATAGATATAGATGAGGCTGACGATATTTATCAACTATTAGATTAGTTGATTTAATTAAGATATAATTAATAGATATTTAAAACAATATTTTTTTTAAAATAAAAAAAAAAACCCTCAATCCTCCTGTTGTTTATTCAAAAAAGACGATAGTTTAAGAAAATGGTTTTAACGAGTCATATATGAAATACATTGGGTTGGGTCATGTGAGTTTGATACAAAGGAATCCAACACCTTTCTTCTCCTTTTCCATTTGCTGTATGAATTGTTGTCGAGTATTACTAATGAAGATGACTTTTTAGTTGAAAGTTTATGAGTATGTGTAAAATTCTAACTAGCTCGTTGTTTGGTATGCAAAATTTGATAGAATTGGAATGACAAATTATTTTGATCAAAATTTAATTTCTTTATTTGGTTCATTTCTTGAAATGGATGGAATCCTTCAAATTTCATTGAATTCTACAAGTTAATAAATTCATCATTCCTTGACATAATGGAAGAAATTGAATTTCATCACCATCCACCATGATGATGCTACTATTGTTCGTGATGCCCCACC